TGTCTTCTTTATTACAAGCTCCACTGGTGCTATATGGTATGATTTAAGATGAACATTACTGTTTGGTTTTAGAAATACATTTTTTGCCATTAAACCCACTTAAACATAGGATTTTTTCTTTCTTTCTTTCTTTCTTTTTTTTTCAGTATCTTTTGAGTCCAAAATTTCACACAATATCTTTTGATCATGTTCAGATACCACTTTCCAGTCCCTCCCCACAATCCCATCTCCAGACTTCATGTCCTCCATTATTTTCTATTATTTTATTTATTTATTAAAAATTATTGAATTTTTGTGCACCTCATATACATTTTAATAATCTTTATACCCCCCTTCCGCATCATCACCGTCCCATAGCCCCTCCTTCCCCCCACTGGATTTCATGCATTCTGTCATTTCTGTTAAGGCCTTTCAAGTCAAGCTAATATTCTCTGATGTTCTTCAGTGCATGTTCATCCACTGGAGTCTAGTCAGCCTATCTAGAGTCACTCCCTTAAAGATCAGTTCTTCACCCAGCAGTAATTATCTGCTCAATAGCTCTTCAGTCAATATTGGGGCCTGCTGCCCATTTCCATAGTTTTATGCTGTGTTTTTGCCTGCTTGTGTCTGCATGGATCTTGTGCATGCTGGAAGGAGCCTGAGAGAGAAGAACAGTAGAAGACAGGTGTTATGAGGGAGAAATGGATAAAATGAGGGCAACTAAATGGGAGGGGGAGAGGGACTATGGGGATAAAGGGGGAACAGGAACCCAAGAGGGGAAAGCAGAGGAGACAGATACTATCAAGGTGAAATGGGGGATATGGGGGACTTTAACTGGAAAGGAAGGATGGCAGGTTATACAGGGAGAGAAGAGAGATAAATCATTTACTATTTAAAAGGCCTGTTGACTCTAATCTATGCCTTCTATTGACTCTAATCTATTAATCGACATTAATGCCCTGGAGTGTGGTCAATCTACCAGGCATCACATCAGTATGAAAAATGGTCTCTTTCCCAGCATCCATCAGTTGCTAATAGATAACTAGCTGGAGCTGGGGCTCCTTAACACCTCCCCTCTCCATGCTGGGCCCCTGCCTGGCTATCTTGCACAGAAATTATGCAAGCACTGTGAGTTCATATGTGCAACTGCCCAGTGGTGTCCAGACAACACAGCTTCCTTGTATTCATGTACCTCCTCTGGCTCCTACTAACTTTTTGTTCCCTCTTCCTCAATGATACCTGAACCTTGGGAAGAGAATGTGTGATATAGGTGTCCCATTTAGGGCTGAGCACTCTACGTCTCTTATTCCCTGTGCATTGAGCATTTGTAGATCTTCACGTTAATTGCCATTTACTACAAAAGAACCTTCTCTGGTTAGAGCTGAGAAATGTACTAATCTATGAATTTAACAATAAGTCATTGTGAGTCAGTTTGATATTATGTCTACTTAGCAGAATGATGCTAGTAAGTTCTCCCCTATGGCCTGTGATTGTCAAGGCACAGGTTCTTGCCCTGGTAACAGTGTCAGGCATGGACTTCCTGTTGTGAAGTGGGCCTTAAAGCCAATTAGAAAGTGATTGGTTGCTGCCATAATATTCATGCCACTCTTGCACCATTGGACAAATTTTGTTCAGCCAGTTACCATTGTAGCTCACAGGGTTCATGGCTAGGCAAGGTTAGTGATTACTTTTCTCTGTCTGTAAGGTTTTTTTTTTTTATTTTAAATGGAATGAATTAAAGGTTTACAAATTTGATGCATTTAATTTCTATTTCAAATCATCATGTTTCAAATATTCTTTTTTCTTGTTTTATTTCTTTGTGTGTGTGTGTGTGTGTGTGTGTGTGTGTGTGTGTATTTGGTGCATGTGCATGGGTGTGGGGGTGGTGAGTGAATTCGTGCAAACTTGGAGGTCAGAGGAGGCTGTCAGGTGGCCAGCAAGCCCCAGCAGTGCTACTGGCTCTGTACACCCCACAGCACTGTAGCCACACTCAGGTTTTTTACACGGGTCCTGGGGATTTAAACTTAGTTCCTCATACCTGTGCAGCAAGTGCTCTTATCTGACGAGCCACGTCTTCAAGTCTGTGAACATTTATTTAAAAAAAAATTGTATCTTACCTACCACAGTTTTTACAAAGCATACATGATTCTGTATAAACTACAGAAAATAAAATCTAAGTTTCTGTAAGTTCTTAGCCACTGCTGTACAGCATTCTTACAGAAAGAGCAATAGAAATGGTCACATTTCTATAGCTCATTTGGAGAAAATACTATTTGACTTTATTCCTAGTATAATGATGCAGTTAATCTAGATCTCCCACAGATATACAGGAATTTCATAATACAGTTTAAAAGCATTTAATTTCTCTAGAAGGTAAGTTATGATAAATAAGTCACTGACAATGTCTATCTGTGAAAATAGCACATGATATGGGACTGAGGTTAATTAGCAACCCTGCCAACTTTAACTTCATGGTCATAAAATACTGCAAACACCATTATTTCTAAAACTTAAGGAAGAATATTCACTAGGCTTCAACCAAGAAATGAGACTTTAGCGATACTAAATTCTTGTGCTGTATTCAGTGTCCTCCAAGCATGCAGCATTAAGGCTGTGGAAAGGGGCTTGGAGAGGTGGCTCAGCTGTTAAGAACATTTGCTGTTCTTCCATCAGACCCGGGTTTGATTCCCAGCACCCACATGGTGGCTGTAAACCATCCGTAACTCCAGTTCCAGGGGATCCGATACCCTCTTCTGGCCTCTGCAGGGCATTGCATGCACATGGTGTTCTTACATACATACAGGTAAAACACTCATATGCATAAAAATAATAAAATATTTTTTTTTGATAGTGTTATTTTTAAAAGGTTATTACAAAGATGTCAACAACATCCAAATTCACTTAAATTTTAGCATCCTTAATTTCCAAAGAACCTTTGTGATCATACTGTTCTTGAAGCAAAGCTATGCCTTGACCTACTAGAATTTGGTTCCTCTATATATAAAAATGTGCTAGAGACAGGTATTCTGTAAAATAGACTTTGAAGAAATGCCATACAATACCAGTCCCCTTTCCAGAAGTTAGCCCCACCTCCATTGCTCCGCTGGATGGAATGGCAGGCAAGCCAAGTAGAGAGGCACGTGCACAGGACTCTAGACGCTCCTTTTCAATGGATATATCTTTCAAGTACAAGGTCAGCTTTCAGTGTCTCTTGTCCTAATTTTCCTTACTCTAACCTCAAATCAATTACCATCACCTTTAGCATCTAAGAGGGTGGGGCCCACCACCATCTCTCAAGGCATGTCAAGATGCTAAAGCACCAGTCTACATGGTGAGAACCATGTTAAAAATCAATGGGTAAAGTGGCACAGCCTCTATACTAACAAGAAAAGATTGTGGAAACACTGTTAGACACATCTTTCCTGGGGTCTTACCTAATATTTCTGTTACTAATCTTTTAGACTCTGTAACAAATGCCATGACAATGAAACAGTGAATAAAATGATTTCTTTTAAATTTCTGAGGTATTTAGTAATTATCCTACATAGTTTTATATACAAAGGAGCATTATTGTCAGAATAATAGAATTTTTCATGTGCTAATCAGATCAAAGGTACATAGGGATAGAATTTCATGAGGGAAAGTGCTATCATTTGATTAATTAAACAGCCAAAGAACATGCACTGGGTACATGCGTGCGCACACACACACACACACACACACACACACACACAGGTCCAAGAATGTACCTTCAATACTCAAAATGGCATAAAATGAAAAAAAAATCAAAATTATTTTTCCATATTCTGAATTATTAAATATAATTACACTATCACTTATTGTATTGTAGGTTTGACTAAAATGAATTTGTCCCCATAAGGACCATTTTTATAAGTGACTCAATTTTCCTGTAACAACTTCTGTGTAATAACATGATTAACAAATTTGTTTCCTAAGCACAAAGGTGGAAAATGCCCAGGTTGTACTCATCTTAGTTTAGTATTCTGAGATCTATTTTTCAGTTCTTAAAACCAAATATGCAAGTGGGAGATGGAAACGTTCATGAACCAAAGATTCCTTAAGTGCATTAGAGTTTAGACCTCCTGAGAATGAGTTTTCTAATGCCAAATCAATTGCATTTTTAATTTTTATTTGAGCTTCTTCCTGACCCTCTCAGAAAGTTCTGCTACTGAATTTCTCTATCTATTGATTATTTCTAACTTAAGACTTGGCAGCAGGCTGGGCAGAGAGAAGCTTGGATGCAGTCTTTAGTAATAACTCTTCATTCTCCTTTCCTGCTCAAAGCCTATTGCCCTTAGGTGTCATTGGGTGTAATTTCCCAATCTTGATTCAGTAATACTCTAAAACTATCTACTCAGATTTCTTGGTCTCCAAATGCATGCAACATCTACAGCATAGGACAGCCACAGTTTCTAAGGTGGAGGCTTTCCTTTACCTCCTTTTACTTACATGTTCCCAACCTGATCTAAATCATCAAACAAATTGGCTGGTGGGCTAGTAATTATGCTTTTTGTTTGCCTGTTTTAGTCTTTTTGAGACAGGGTCTCCCTGTAGCTCCAGCTGGCCTGGAACTTTTTGTATAGACTGGGCTGACTTTGAACTCACAGATATCTGCCTGCCTTGGCCCCCTGAGTACTGGAATTAAAGGGATGTACCACCATGCCCGGCTTTTAATTATGTATTTTTATATTCCTATTTTATTGAATTCAGTTGAATCTGTGTGTGATTAATCAACTATAACAGATCCATCAAATAATCAATGCAAGTTTGTCTTCTCTTTATAGTGGAAAAGTCCAGAGGAAAGAATTTTTCACCACAGGAATATATATATTTTTGATTTGGCCACTAAAATGCTATTAAAATAGTGTTCCTGATTTAAAGAGGTGTCACAGAATTAGATTGCTGTCATTTAGTATAATGTAAAGCAAAATACAACCCATGTGATAAAGAGAATATATAATCTTCAAATACACCAATCTCATTTTATTATTTTCTTTCAGATTACCAAGTCCTTTCTAATGTCAAAGGCATTTCATTATTTAGAAGAAAACATGCAAAGGAGATTACTGTGTCTGGATTAAATTCTTCCATTAATGGTCAGTCTAAATTTTTCTATGTATTTTTAATGCTCGTTGCCTCTAATAATCCAGTGAATTCCTAATCTTTTCTTCCCAGGAGAAGTAATTTATGCCATCATGTGCACAGCAGCCACCTGTGGAATCTTTTTCCTGGTGATGCTCAAGCTGAAGTAAGTGAATGTAACTCAGAAAGGAAGGACTGGACAAAACTAGGGTCTGAGAATGGAGACTTCTTCGCTGAGACATATTAAATCCAGTTTTATGTGGGATAGGTTGGAAACGTTACTCACAGACTTCACACGTAAGGGAAATGTGGTCACAGGGTATTGGTTTTTTGTTGCATTTTACAAGCACATATGCAGTGTGTAAGCCTTCCACTTAGATTGTTATCGGTCTTCATGTTTCCCTCCAACATCCAAACTGAACTGTGCTGTGTTGCCTTTTCAACTTATTTGTAAGACTGATAACTCGCATAATTTATGACATCAGACAAGTACAAATGAAAGCTGACCCAGGCAATTGTGTACATGTGTACATGCGGTCCCTCCAGAAGCAATCTAATAAATCTAAGAACTACAGGATTTGACGGTTGGGCGTGTGGAATGAAAAGCTGAAGTGGAGATGAACGGCTACAGCAAGGGGTCATTGCATGAAGAGCAGATGCTTGGCTAGGCACACTCAAATTTGTCTACTTAGTAACTTTTTCTAAATTTGAATAAAGTAAAAAAAAATCTACCTCTTAGTTCCAACCTTTCCAAACATTCAATTTGACCAATACAAATTGTTTTCCCCAAGATTTTAAGCACAATTTATAAGAAAATTTCACAAATCCAAAAGAGCTCAGATAATTGGAGTCAATTTCTCAGAGGGGAAAAGGATAGTTTATTAGCCTTCCCTTTATATGTTTTAAAATATTGGAAGAAGAGCTCAGTTATTCCATTTCCCTTGCCTGGGTATTACATGACCAACACACTGTTTTGAAGAAACACAGTTTGGCAACATAATGAAACTCTTACACTAATGGTTCTTTTGTATAATTTAAAATTTTATTAAAAAATTTTTATTGAGCACCTGGCACGGTGGCACATACCTTTATTCCCAGCACTCAAGAGTCAGAGGAGGGTGGATCTACGTGAGATTGAGGCCAGCCTGATCTACGTAGTGAGTTCTAGGCCAGCTGGGACTATAGGGAGACCCTGTCTCAAAATACTAAAATGAGGGCTGGAGAGTTGGCTCAGTTGTTAGAGCACTGGCTACTCTTGCAGCAGACCAAGGGTCAATTCCCAGCACCTAGATGGTAGCTAACAACTGTTTGTAACACCATTTCCAAGGGATCTGAAGTCCTCTTCTGACCTCTGTGAGCACCTCTGACTTCTGTGGGCATTGCATGACATAAGTTCACTTATGTACATGCAGGTAATACACTCATACATATAAAATAAAAGTAATAAAATATTTTTTAAAAACTAAAAAAATTGTATTGACTAAATACTAAATACTAAAAACATTGTATTGACTAAATACTAAATACTAAATTCCCAGCAATCATATGGCAGCTATGAACATCCTTAACTCCAGTTCCAGGGGAATCTGAAGCTCTCTTCTGACCTCCATGGCATTGCACAACATACATGCAGGCAACACACTCATACACATAAAATAACAAAAAAAAATATTTAAAAATTGCATTGAATGTTGTGAATATGATGCAATATATTTTTATAGAATTATGATTCATGATTCACTCCCCCATTTGCACCACCTACTATCCCCTGCCCAATTTCATGTACTCTATTTACAATATATTTTTTTAAAATTATGTGTTTTATATTTCTCTCCCACATGCTCCCCCTACTATCCCCTGTCTAAATTCATGTACTCTATAATATATATATAGAGAGAGAGAGAGAGAGAGAGAGAGAGAGAGAGAGAGAGAGAGAGCCAAACTTGAGCCCCAAATGCCCTTCAGTATGATTCTATCCACTGGAACCTGATCAAACTACCAAGAGTCTTAGCATAAATGAGGCTGAATCTCCCCCTCCCAGTAGCCATCAGTTGCCATCAATTCCTCAGGTAGGGTTGGGACTTTTTACCCATCTCCCACATTCATGCTGGGAATTTGTCTGGCTTGAGGTCACATGGGACTTGTGCTTGCTGTCACTATTGCTGAGTACACATGAGTAACTTCCCAGCTGTTGGGAAAACCAAATGGTCCTCTACTACCTCTGGCTGTTTCAATCTTTCTGACCCCTCCTCTTCAATGTCTCTGAGCCTGGGGAGGCAAAAGTTTAATACAGGTGTTCTATTTAAGGATTAGCAGTCTGCATCTTCTGATTCTCTGTGCCTTGGCTAGTGTGAGTCACTATGTTAATCACTATCTGTACAAGGAAACTTCTGTGGTGAGAGTTCCAATATGCATCAATCATGGAAGGTCTGGGAGAGCTGGTAGGTCTGAGAACAAAAGAGTCTTCTTTAATTTTTAAGAATTTCATAATTGAATACTGTACTGACATCATTTTCACCCCTCCCTCTCCCCCTCCAACTCTTCCCAGTCAGTGCTCACTAACTCTCAATTTTGTGACGTCTTCTTTTTTACATATACATATGTGGTGTGAATGTGTGTGTGTGAGTGTGTGTGTGTGTGTGTGTGTGTTTATGTGTTTAACCCATGGAGTCCATTTAGTGGTATAGGTATGTACATGTGTTTATGGATGAATGACCTTGAACTTGAATAACCTATTAACATTATTCCCTAGAGGAAACTGAGTCGCCCTCTCTCAGCAGCCATTGACTACCTATAGTTCTTCGTCTAGAGGTAGGATCTTATGAAATTTTCCCCATCTGTGTTGGCATGTCAACTGGCATTGTCATTACGTAGGTCTTGTTTAGGCAACCATATTATTGAGATCTCAAGGGTACAGCTTCTATGTCATGTCTAGAAGACACTATCTAGCTGCAGGATTCATGTCCTCTGACTCTTACAATCTTTCCATCCATTCTTCCATGAATGGTCACTTATTCTCTGTATTTTGACGAGTTGTGGGTCTCTGTAATAGTCTCCATCTGTTGAGGAGTAATAGATTCACTTATCTGTTGGCATCAGAATAAGTACTTAAACTGGGCATGGTGGTGCATGCCTTTAATTCCAGCACTCTGCAGACAGATCTCTATGAGACTGAGGCCACCTTGCTCTACATAGTGAGTCCAGGCCAGCTGCAGCTACAAAAAGACTCTGTCTCAAACAAAACAAAACAAAACAAAACAAAACAAAAACAACAACAACAACAACAACAACAAAATCAACCCAACAAAAAGAATAAGAGAGTAAGTATTTTGGATCCAGTTAAAAGTTATATTGGTCTCGGAAAGTAACAATAACCTTCCACCTCTGGACTCTCCTCGGGTTCATGACTCTCCAGCAATGGGTATTTGACTATGTTTACAGTATCAGGCATCCATTCCTTCTTATTGAGTGACCCTAAGTACGATTAGACAGCTGTTGCTTACTCCCAAGATAAAAGTGTCACTGTTGCATTAGAGACATAAGGCCTAGCTGGTCATTGTTGTCGTTCTTAGGCTTTAAGCAGCTGGATAGGACTATTGGTTTTCTCTGTCACCAGATTGCATACCGCCTTCCCATACTATGAGAGCTTGTCCTCAGGGAGGAGGCTTCTAGGTTATACAGCAAAAGATAACCAGTTAAGTAAACAGGAAGCCTATAGAGGAAGATAGAGCATTTCCTACCTATAGGAGACTAATACTCAGAATATATAACAATAACTCAAAAGGAAAGAATCAAAACACAAATGAGCCTTTAAAAATGGGCTACAGTACTGAGCAGATATTTCTCAAAAGAAATAAAATTTTTTAAGAAATATATTTAAAAGTATTTAATATCCTTAGCAATTGGGAAAATACTAATTAAAATTACTTTATTATTTAATTACTAATTAAAATTGCTTTAAGATTTGACCAGTCCGAATGGCAAAGATCAAGAAAAGAGCTGAAGAGGAAGCAGAAAGATTGGTAAGAGCCAGAGGTCCTGGATAACACAAGGAAATCTTGTTTTCCAGACACAACAGGGGAATACACTAAGAACCACAGTGCTTATGACAGCTTACACAAGACCTATTTATGCCCAAGCCAGTCAAAAACCCAGCATGGAAGGGGAGGCAGGCATGAAGCCCCAGCCATACCTGAGGGACTATATGCAATTTGTAGTTGCTGGTAGACAGAGAGAGAGTTAAGTTTCTTTTTAAAAAAAATTTTTTATTGATTGTTCTTGTGTATTTCATACAGAACAACTCAATCAGTTTTAATCATCTTTATTCCCCTTCCCCACTGGCACCTCCCATAGAGTCCCTACTGTAATTCAGATATTCTGCCATTTGTGTTAAGGCCTATTATGTCGTTAGTGTTCCCAGACATCATCCCTCAGTACTAATTCATCTACTTAGGTCTAGTCAGCCTATCTAGATGCTCTACTTTTAGTAATATCAGGTCTTCCTCACCAGGCAGTAATCAGTTGCCGATGTTTCTTCATTTAAGATTGGGGTCACCTGTCCATTTCCCCAATTCCCTGCCGGGTTTTTGTCTGCTTGAGTTTGCATGGGTCCTGTGCATGCTGACACTGTTGCTATAAGTTCATATGAGCAGGGTCTCAGGAACTTGTAGGATTCTATTTCCATATGCTCATGCACCTCCTCACTGACTGCTACAATCTTTCCACCTCCTCTTCCACAATGGTCCCTGAGCCCCAGGTGGGTATACATTAATATAGGAGTCCTGTCCAAGAACCAACATCATGGAGAATCAGTCTCTATGCTTTGGTCATTTGTGACCTTTTGTGTTTCTAGTCCTCTGCTGCATAAAGGAGCTTCATTAATGAGAATTCATTAGTGAGAATTCGGTAGTGTCCTCTTTACCCCTTGTTCTGTGTTCTGTGGGTCTTAGGTGTAGAGGTTGCTTTATAGATGTGCCGCTTAATCTTGAGAAATTCACAGACAATCTCTGTGTGCAAACAGTTGTGGTACTGTGCAATAATCTCCATCTGGTGCAAAAGAAACTTCTTTGATGAGTGGTGGCTGGGATATTTGTCTGTAAATATAAGGATATATATTTTGCACATAGTAAGAAATTACATTAGTCTAGGGATGTGACAGTCTTGGGGTTTTCTATAAGATCTATGACCTCTCCAGCCATGTGTATTTGGCTATGTTTACAATACCATACATGTTTCTTCCCATTGAGTGGGCTTTTAGTTCAATTAGGTAGCTATTGATTGCTACCAATATAAAAGTGCCACTACTGCACCAATGTCATATGCTGTGCTGTGGTTATTTGGTCTTGGAGCTGGTGATGGACCTCTGATTGATATTCTCCCTTATAGCACCTTGCATAGTGCTTTCCGAAACTATGACAGATAACCTTCAGGGGAAGTAGCTTCCAGGTCCATTCCACCTCCATTGTGCCAAATCCTGTGTCCAAAGTATGTTCTGTATTCATCGGTAGAGTCTTACCTTCAAGGACAGTGGCAATAGCTTGTGTAATATTGGGAATCTCTTGGATCACCCTGGCCAACAACTCAAAGGAAGGTTTGCCCTGTCCAGCACTGTTTCTTGTTCTGTGCCTTTTATCTATACACATGGCCTCAGGTAGAGACACTGTATATGTAATTTGTCATTAGGTTGTTGGACTGATATGATTTCGGGACTAATATGATTAGGATGTTGGACTAATACTAGTTAGGAATTATTTATCTCTCCTCTCTCTCTCTCTCTGTCTCTCTCTCTCTCTCTCTCTCTCTCTCTCCCCCCCTGTCTAACCCTTCCACCATGACTTCCCCATTTTAAGTGTCCCCATTTTCCCCATTTCTCTCTTGATAATGCCAGTCTCCTATGGTCCCACCTCTCTTGAGTTCCTGCTTTCCCTTAATTCCTAAAGTTCCTTGTAAAAACCACCCTTAGTCCTCCTATTTAAAAAACTCCATTTTTATACATTTATCCTTTAGTAACACCTGTTTCCTACTCTTCTTCTGTTTCAGCCTTCTTCTTTCCCTTTACCTCCCTTGTTCCATTCCATTATCCTGGTTTCTGTGATTACATCAGGATACATACTCACATATAAGGATTTGGTGCCAAGATCCACATTTTCATTGTCCACTCATCAGTTGAGAGACACTTAGGTTGCTTCCATCTCTTAGCTATGGTGAAAACAGCAGCAACAAACATGGATGTGTGAGTATCTCTGCAATAGGATGAGTCCTTTGGGTATATGCCAAGGAGTGGGATAACTGGGTCAAATGGTAGGTTCACTTTTAGATTTTTTAAAGTTCTCCACACTGCTTTCCATAGGGGTCCTACAAGTTTGCAGTCCTACTAGCAGTGTATGAGTGTTCCCCTTTCCCCACACTCTCCTGCATTTGTTTGTCACCTTGATCATAGCCAGTCTGACTGGGGTAAAATGAAATCTTAAAGATTCATCAAAGAAGCTTCTTTCTGTTAACATATGGAGACTACTGTAGAGTTGTACATCTGGTCAGGCACAGAGAACATACACCTGGGAGATGCCCAGTACTAGGTGACACATCTGCAGCTGAATCTCTACAACTGAGGCTCATGGAATATAGTGGAATAAGGGGTAGAGAGGGGGCTAATGAACCCCTCTACTCTCACCAGTGATGTCAGAAATGCCGTTAAAACTAATAGAAGACATGAATGGGGGCGGTTGGAAGTGGATTTGAGAGAAGAAGGAAGGGTCTGAAAACAATCAACAAAATTCTAAAAAAAAAAAAAAATTCAATAAAATAGTAAAAATGGTATTTTTTTTTAAAGGACAACAACTGCTGGGCATGGTGGTACATGCCTTTAATCCGAGCAGGGGCAGAGGCAGAGGCAGAGGCAGATCTCTGTGAGTTCAAGGCCAGCCTGGTCTACATAGTGAGTTCCAGGACAGCTGGGGCCACAGGGAGACCCTGTCTCAAAAAGGCAGAAAAAAAAAGAAAAGAAAAAAGAAAGAAAAAGAAAACAAAACAACAACAACAACAAAAAAAAAAACTGGCAACAAAGGAACCCTCATTCATTGCTGGTGAGGTTCCAAATGGGTACAGCCACCGTGGAAAACATTAATGATTCTTGATCATTATTTCATAGCCACACACATAATGTATAATGTTCATATCAGCCACATTGGTTAATGAAGTTTCACAGTGAAACCTTGGCTGACATAAACAATGTGCTATGTTCATAGTTCCCATGAGTCAACTGCAATTGACTTCTTTCTTTCTTGACCAGCTTCCCTTCTCTCTTTCTTTTTTTCTTTCCTTCTTCTTCTAGATGACAGTAAGAAGGTTATTATTACTATACACTTAATCTTGAGTTTAAACATATTTTACTGTTTTGTAATTAATTTATTTACTTTTTATTTCATATGTATGAGTGCTTTGCCTGCATGTATGTAAGTACGCCCATGTCATACAATGACCACATGGCCCAAAAGAGGGTGTCAGGATCTAGGATGGAACAGGAGCTAGGATGATTGTGAGCCACGATATTGGTGCTGGGAACTGAACCCCGGGCCTCTACAAGAGCAACCATGCTCAGCAACCACTGACCCATCTCTCCAGCTCATTACTGTTTTGTTTTTGTTTTAAGAGTACTGGGGATTGAACCTGAGGCCCAGCACATTCTAGAGAAGAGCTCTAACACTGAGCCATATCCCCATTTCTGACACATATAATTAAACTATTCATACTTCTTAAAAAAAAAAAACATGATTTTTCATGACTAGAAGGATAGCTCAGCACTTAAGAGCACTGGCTGCTCTTGCAGAGGAATCGTGTGCAGTTCCCAGGACCTACACGGTGGCTACAAACCATCCTAACTCCAGTTCCAGGGAATCTGATGTCCTCTTCTGGTATGTATGAGCATTGCATGACATGGGTGTATTTACATACATGCAGGCAATAGACTCATACACATAAAATAAAAATAATAAAGAAAATATTTTAAAAATTATTTCTCATGTAATTTAAAATTATTTGTGTTGTAATCAGGCCATTGATTAGGTATGTGTCAAAAGCCAGAATGACGAAACAGAACAAAATATTTGTAATCAGCAACAAAGTCTCCTTTACCCCCAATCTGGAAATAAAGACTGCCCCTAATATATTTCAGGCATTATTCACACAGCTGATAACCAGTTCTTACCAACGTGAACACTTACCTTAAGAGTTTTACATGTGTTATATTATACTACATTAAAGTTGCCTATCTTAAAATTTTTTTGAGAAAAGTATAATTAAAACTTAAATACTTGAGAAAAGGCCATAGAAAAATTACTTAGAAATCATAGTTAAGTGTATGATTTTCCTTAGAAAAGCCTTAGAATATATGACCTTTGAAACTTTATATTCGGGAACTTGATTATCCTCATCTTTCAACTCAGGCTCTAACCCTAAGTATAAGTGTGCACAAACATATTTGTAGAGTTCTGACACTGGCATGTTAACTTTGTCTCTTATTTTTCTATAGAATATCCAGAACATCAAGTAAGAAAAGAGATCCATCATCCACTGAAATGCCTGGAGTCATCATCACTTACTGAATCCCAGATCACTAACAATTGTTGTCATTAAAGCAAGTCTTTGATGTCAAGCATTAGAATATCACATTTGCCAATATTAAAATATTAAGATGAATGTAATGATATTAGGTCATTAAATATAATGATGCCTGGTACATAATATAGCATAATTGTCTTGGATGTACCTTAAACAATATTTGAGCAAACACAAATAGTGTATCACTTTTAACTCTATTAGATAACGATTGCCTTTAAAGCAGATCTGAAACTACATTTTGCTTTATAGGCCGTCATTGCATATAATGTTGATAACTCCTCTCATAATATGATTCCTCATTATTTAGCAGTTGTATAGTTTTCCATTAATTTGCCAAAATTGAAATGCTAATGAGAACATTGAGCATGTTTGTTATCTGTATATTTTTACTTAATGTCCAAACATTAGCTAAATAATTGACATTAAATTTATTTGGTTAGATAATGAACTCAGACTCTGTAAACGCTTAAAAAATAATAGTGGACACAAAGATGGGGGTGGTAAGGTGAGGTGGATCTGTGAGGAGAAGGTGGATCTGGGAGGGGTTCTGAATATGATGAAAAAAAAAACATTGTATGAAATTTTCAAAGAATCAATAAAAATACTTAAAAATTTTAAAAATTCAAAATGGAAATCTTTGTAATTTTACAATTTAAGTGATACTGAATCTTACCTTTTAACTTTATATATTCATATCCATAAGATGCAAAGCAGTGCTGGGGCGTAGTGGCGCACACCTTTAATCCCAGCACTCAGAGGCAGAGGCAAGCTTGAGCTGTGAGATCAAGGCCAGCCTGATCTACATAGCTAGTTCCAGGCCAATTGGGGCTACAGGGAGCCCCTAAGGAGTCACCATCTGTGTGGCATGTAGGCTTGGCTCCCATTTCAGCCTCATCCTTTTCACGTCTCTTCTTTTGGAAAGCCTTCTTTAATACAACTTTTCTGCACTGGGCCAGGGACCTATGCTCAGTGTTTCCACAACACTTAGTTTTCCCTTACCTTAGAGTACTGCACTTCACTTTAACTGTTTTCCTCAGTGAATTATAACTCCTTGATCAGATCCATTAGTGCATCTGTGCTTGCCATACCTTTACACATAGTATATGTTCAATACATAGTTGTTCAATGAATGAACTACTTCATTTGGAAGGCAATGGCGAGTCATAAAGCATCATTGTGGAACTGTGTACTCATACTCTAAGACTGGCATGGCTGCTTCCCCTTGAATTGTGAGCAGCTGTAATTTTCCAGTGATTGAGCCCATTAACTTTCAATCAGGGAATGTGAGGGTGCTTAGTTCATAGGGCCCAGTCCTTCTGGAAATTTACAGATAGTTAACAGCTATTAAAGAAGAGGGCTTAGAAGGCTTCATTTCTTCTCAAAGGTATAGAGATAGTTAACCATTGCTTGGAAGAAGATTTTTTTTTCCCTCAGTAGTTTAGCTTCCTATAAGTTGTCCATACTCCTAAAAGTACACCCTCACCCACAGTCCTATACAAAATACCAGTTAAACTCATTATTTCATTAAACTAGACTTTGGCAGAATCATTCCTTTGGTCAGTTGTTCATACCCTTTCTGGAGTGAATAGATGTTTGCATATCTCCCCAGCAAACATTCATCCAGAAAACAATTTTAAACAAAGGAATAGACTGACCAGAGTTCTGAGGAGAAAAACTATACTGCCAAAAATGTAAATGGATGAACTAGAAAAGACTAAGACTGTTGCCTGGAATGTACTAACTATAATACTGATCTTGTAAGTATTAAAAATATGAATTGATTAATTTGATCAACACTTATTTACTGAGAACATACACAAACACATATACGTACACATACATATTAGTAGTACACTAAGAATTGGAGGTAGAGTTCTGAACACATCAACTCTAAACAAGTATCTTGGATATTTGAGAAAAAAAAAATATATATAAAGGGAGCTGGAGAGATGGCTCCATGGTTGAGAGCAATGACTGCTCTTCCAGAGGACCCAGCACCCACCTGAAGGTAACAACTATAACTTCAGTTCCATAGGCTTTGCAGAACAAGGGTACACTTACATACATACATACATACATACATACACTTACATATGAGGCAAAACACTGATACACATAAGAAATAAATAAATGAATAAAAAAAGTAAAAAGAGAAATACACAAGGATTGTTTATAGATACATGAAGTCCTGTATTTGTGTAGGACGTGAAACTAGAAATCAAACAGTCTAGCAGAGAAAAGAGGGATTAGCAGAGGGAAAGGGTAACAAAAGGGAGGGTAAAGGCATGGAGATGTTCTTAATATACAAGATAGACTTAATTAAAAATTTAAATAAAAAGCTTAAAATACATAAAGACATTTCTGAATGGGTATGCAGGAAAGACAGGATACTAAGAACATTTAGGAGTGATGTGAGAAAACTGATGTATCTTATAAGTATTTGGAATGGATAGGAATATGGGATTGCTTATTTGTAGGAAGTTGAGCTTATCAGGATTATTTTAAGAATATTCACAAAAGTAGGTATTTTTTGTTTATTTGGCTTTTAAGACAGGGTCTCCTGGTAGCCTGACTGGCCTGAAACTCCCTATCTAGATCAGAAATCAGCCTGGCTCTGCCTCCTGAGTGCTGTGATTAAAGGTGTGTGCCATCACACCCAGCTTTTTAAAGTTCTCTTTAGATCAGTCACAGTGCCATTTGGAAAAGTATTGTGTATGAGAGAATGAAATTGGAATGGCAAAGCATAGCACTCAGTTCATCTTCAGATCTACACCCATTTTTCTTCATCTCTATCCATACAGTACTGGCATCATGTCCTTAGGTTTATAACAGAGTTTATCCAATGGTGAAAAATGGTGGGTGGGGAGATACTTTCTCAAATGCCTCCTTGAGATGTCAGCCTGGGTTTCCTTATTTCCATTAACTTTCCGTCACTGTGGTCTTTTCTATAGGATTCTGTCCTTCCAGATTCCACCAAACACTTCCAATCTTTTTCCTTTAAGACTTTATGATGTTAACAGCATAGCTGTTATCAGTCCTGGGTTCCTAAGTTACTGCATTAATCACTTTGGTTTGCCTAAAATCACCTATACTTGTATGAAGATATTAGGGTTTGAAACCACAGCAGCCTCTCCTCTCTCCAACAGGGTCCCATGAACTTTGGATTTCTCAAGCCCTCGTATATAAGGCCCAGCTCACAATCTGTGGGGCTGACTTCTTTCCCTCCTGGAAGGGAACGTGTCCCGTGCAAAATAAAGCTCTATCCCGTTGAGAGTTTTATCTGTGTCCTGGTGCCCCCTCCTCTATTCATTCATTCTCTGGTAACTTTTTACCTATCAAATGGTGCCAAAACCCAGTCCTTACTTTGAGGGACCTCGCACATAAAACATTTGGACTTGCTTGTCGTTATTGGCCAATGCAAACAACACTGATTTGGCTTTAAGGTACACCCCCTCCCTTTCTCTCTCCACTCCCTCTCTCTCTCTGTCTCCTTTCCCTTCACTTCCTCTGGCTTGCCTCCATTTTCATTTCATCTCCTTTCCAATCAAATTCGGTCACTCCCGGACCTCATTTAAGGCCACTGGACAGCACTGGTTTGACTGTTGAATTGTCTGGGGTGGTCACTGTACCTGCCCATGCCCACCAGGGAGTCCCCATTGCACTCAAATCCTTTTCCCTATCTCAGCTCCCTTCCCCTCCTCACTCCCGCCATCTCTTGTCTTCCCCTAACTTCTCGCCTTCCTTTTTGCTCTCTCTCTCTCTCTCTCTCCCCCCCTCCCCTTCTGCATTCCTGTTCCATCCCAGCCTGCTGGCCCACTACACTACCTCCTTTCCTTATTCTTTGGCTCCATCTAATAGCTGGTCGTACACCACGTTGCAGAGTTTCCCTGCTCACTACCTCCTTTCCTTATTCTTTGGCTCCATCTAATAGCTGGTCGTACACCACCACGTTGCAGAGTTTCCCTGCTCATTTTCACTCGCTGGAAAGCATACCGGTACATGGGGAGGCTATTTCCTGCCTTTGGATACAGGACGCTGTTTCCACTGACAGGAACATGCACAACACGTTCTCATATTTCCCCTCCACAGTGATTGGAGGACCACTGCCCTGGGGCTTCGGGAATTAAAACTTGAAATCTTAACTCGAACCTGCTTAACACAAAAGGACGCTTTCTTTTGTTGACTGGCTCTTCTCATTCTTCTTTTTACATGACCTAAGCCAAACCTTTCTCTTCCTGCTCTCTCTCCCCATCTCTCTCTCTCTCTCTTCCTTGTATGCCACTCCTTTCCACCCTGACTCCTGACCTTGCCTCTGCTTCCTCTGGGCAAAAGATTCTCTTTGTTCCCCTACCCACCTTCTGAGGTCTTTTTTCTATCTCCTCTTTGCTCTGCATGTAATCCGTTGCTATGGGAACCAAGCACTCAAAGTCTGAGGGTCTCATGCCTCTTGTTTCTCTTCTAAAATCCTTGAAACAATTAGGACTGTTAGGTACAATCAGGGCTAAACACCTGCAATTCTTGTGTACCACTTCCTGGCCTCAGTACAAGCTAGATAATAACTCTGTTTGGCCAGACACTGGTACGGGGGTCTCTCCCTCTCTTCGCGGGTCGTTGGCCACCAGCCCACGAGGGCAGGGGGAGCAGAAGCGACGAACGGGGTCAGGACGGCCAGTGAGCACTGACAGAAGAAAGCCCTTCCGGGGAGGCTGGTCCCAGGAGCAGTGAAACAGCAGTGATACAGCTCCAGACACAGTGAAACAGCTCCGTTTATTCAGTGGGAGAACTAGAGAAATTATAGTGTGGAGGCAGTAGCCAAAGCCTCAGCTGATAGGTGCTCATAGTATGCTTTATTTACATGTGGCAGTGGGCTCCTATCTTCCAGACTATCAGGCAATGCCTGATTATCATATAGAAAAAACCTGGGGGTAGTTTTTACTCCAGGTAACTATGCCAAAGGTCATGTTCCAAATAAGGTCAGGCATCCGTGCTTGGTGGCACTTTCCAGGTAAGCCAGGAAGAGAGCAGGAGGCCCCCTGCTGAAAAGGGGAGTCCTTCCATTTGGTGCCGAGCCCCTTAGGGCTATCCGGACATGGAGAACTACAACCCTAACAGCAGGGTTTCCCAACACACTGGAACCTTTAACCTCAATATTTTAAAAGATTTAGAAAACTTCTGCCATTGTAATGGTAAGTGATCCAAACTACCCTACATCCATG